CAGGCAGGAAGCTAGCCAGCCAGAAGGCTGGCAAGAATCGACTTCAATAACCAGCTCACTTAGTACATCTGAGTGGTCACCTATTACAGGTCGCACCTCTCAGCACTGTTGCACTGAGGATTAAGTTTCTGACACATGAATTTCAGTAAAAGAAAGATAATATTCCCTTGTAATTCTGCACAGAGATAGCTGGTAATAATAACATTGGGTTAATCCTTCTAGTTTGTGTCTTTCAGTAGCTTATTGTATTGTTTTTGAAGTACTGAGATTTGATTTTCATGTTTTTATAATAGGACTAAGATTTTATTTGTATTTTTACTGTGTTGACCTTTATAGTGATGGTGAAAGAGCAATGGCTGGTACAGCTTTGGGCATCAGGGTAGTGGCCCCAAACTTAACTAGTAGGCATTGCATTCTTCATGGAGCCCTTGATAAAGATTTAAACTTAATTTTACTAAATGTTGACTCTTGAGTTTTCTTTTTAGATTTTTTGTGTAGTGCAGTTGAACGTATAAGCAGTTCTGCATACGAAAATGTGGTCGTTGTTTTCATGCAAAGCACTTCTGTTATTGTTTGAATTGTCAGCTGAATCAGCTGCTTTTGCGCAGAAACACATTTTCTATTTTATGTTATTCAGACTTGGGTATTTGCCAGACAGTTTTTCAAAAATGATAGAAGTAAGTTTATTCCTTCAAGGAAAGCAGCTGATAGTATTTTTTACCCAAGGTAAAATATGAACTTTATGAGATTAAATTTTGAGAAATTCTTTATGCTCCTATGACCTTACCACCTTTTTTATTCTTAAAGACTTCCTGAAAAGTTACCAATGATGCTAATGGGTATACCTTAATAAATGTAGAAGCTAATATATTAAGAAATACAATTGTTAATATTGTGTAATGCTTTGTATTAGTATTTGAAAAATAAATAATCCATTGATTTTTTCCAAATGCTTAATGCATAAGTTAAAAAGGCTATTATAATACAAGATAGGCTAAGTTTTAATGTGATAATATAAAGAGTTTGTGGATGTGTTACCACATGCAGTAACTTTCAAAAAACTGTCAATTTGTTTTGTTTTAATATGCTATCGAAGAAAAATATCCACAATTATTAGAAAAGCTATTACAATACTTTTTCCCCTCTTAATTCTGTGAATTCTGTATCTTCTTTCTTCCTCCCGTTGCTTCCCTCTGTCCCTCCCTCTCTCTTTCTTTCCAGACAGGCTCATGACTGTGTATTTCAGACTGACCTTGAATTCACTATGTAGTCCAGCTTGGGCTCAAACTCAGCAATCCTTCTGTCTCAGCCTCCTGAGTGCTGGGATTACAAGCATGTGCCACCATATGCCTCTTAAATTCTGTGAACAAACGAGTACAGCAATTACTTAATGTAACTATATTCTTTCTGGGGTGAGATGTAATCTCAGTGTTATTTTAATTTTCATCTCTTGAATGATGAATGATGTTGAACATTTTTTCATGTATTTATCTGCTGTTTGTATTTCTTTATCTGAGAAATGTGTATTCATCTCAGAGGCCCATTTTTGGATTGGATCTTTACATTTGGGAGATCATATTTTTTCTTTTGAGTTCTTTGTATGTTTTTGGTAGTAATCCTTTGTCTGAGGAACAGCTGGGAAACATTTTTCCCACATTGTGGGTTGTCTCTTCACTCTGTTGGTGGTTTCTCTTGCTATGCAAAAACTTTTTAATAAGATCCCAGTTGTTGATTCTTTGTGATAGTTCCTGTGGGATTGGGGTTTTATTCCTAAGGTCTTTGCCTACAGATATGTCTCCAAGAGGTATTTTATGTATTCTGTCTTCCAAAAGGTTTAATATTTCTGTTTTAATATTTAGATCTTTGATCCATTTCTTTTTTTTTGGTCCTGGGAATCGAACTGAGGACCTCACACTTGCCTGATAGGCGCTGCGCTGCTGAGCTATATTCTTGGCCCTCTTTGATCCATTTTGTCTTTAATTTAGAACATAGTGAAGGATATGGGCCCAGTTTTAATCTTCAGCATGTGCAGAGCAAGTTCGTTCAGTACTGTTCATTAAAGAGGTTATCTTTATTTCAGTGACATGTTTGGCCCATTTGTCAAATATAAGGTGTCTAAGTGTGTTTGTAGTTGTGTCTACATCTTCTAATCTGTTCCACTGACCCTCAGGCCTTTTTTTTTTTTTTTTTTTTTTTTCCTGCACCGGCAATCAAACTCACAATGTCATGCTTACCAAGCAGGCACTGTGCTGCTGAGCTAAATCCCCAGCCCTGATTTCTTTTTTTTTTTTTGGTACTGGGAATCAAACTCAGGACCTCACGCT